AATACCCGACGCCTTGTAATTTAATTTCCGTATTTTATTTCCGTAAATTATAACTGTTAGATGTTTGATAATAGGTTTGCATGACAAGACTGAATGTTTTAACCTAAAATCAACTTAGATCACCATTAACATGTACAAAGATAAAAATAACTGAAAACGACACACTCGCACATGCACACTCTTAGGGTACACCCCACCTGGTTGCCTTCGTACACGGTCATTGAGTATAAGTCATTTTAGAGGTCGCCCTTTTGTCTAAAAGATCATAGTCGCCTCGAAACGGTTGCCTCAAATATGATTGCCTCAAACAAATGATCTAAGACATTAGGGTTACCGCTAAGGCATCCTAACATTGCTTTGATGACCGTAAGTCTCGCATTCGAATTGACCCTCAAACTCCAACGACGATGCTACCTACTCATCAATAGTGGGATACCATTGTCTAAAGGAAGATAGCATAGAACGATTCCTTTTTCGAGTAGGTAGATGGTTCTTAGATACTCGCTCTTTAAAAAAAAACAAAATCTTTTTCACACTTACACCTTTTCGAACAAAGTTTTCAAAACACTTCATACACTCTTGAGGACATAAGCAAGAGTTAAATCGAAGTTTAAAAACAAAAAACTTTTTCAAACCCACAAGCACAAAGAAAACAATTTTGAAAATAATTGAGCAAGTACCTAAGAGCCCGTGGATAACCACGGACAGAAAGGGTGCTAACACCTTCCCTTTCTATAATCTACCCCCCAAACCCGAGAAATATCTCGAAAAAGGAATTTTTCTGTGCTTTTTTCCTTTCCTTGTTGGATAAAATAAAAGTCGGTGGCGACTCTTGCTTACTGCGACATTTTGCAAAAACAAACGCAAAACGCAAACCAGCATTCCAAAAAATAGTCAGTTCTTCCCACCGTATCACATATATAACCATATTTATTAATTATATAACCATATTTATTAATTATATAACCATATTTATTAATTATATAACCATATTTATTAATGGTTATAGGGCATTTCCCGGTGTCAACTCTATTTGTCGAAACCGACTTATTGAATGGTTGGCAAGGGGAAAGTGTATAATACTTCGGGAGAAATGCTTCACCATAAACCGCTCCCAATTGGATTTTTGAAAGTATCAGTCGATGTTGTTTTAGAGGGGGGTGCGTTGTTACCACTACCTGACAATGTGGCGGATGCAACATTGGTGGCAGATGTAATAGGATTGTTTGTTGCATGATCGTCAAGCCTCGTTTGCGTAGATAATGAGGTATGCTTAAAATCGTTTACTATTCAAATTTTTTAAGGAAATTTTACTTAAATTTTGTTTACATGGTAATGTTATACTCCAACAAAATCCATTCCAAAAGATAAGGGGATTAGACAGGAGACCGAGTCAATTGCATCAATTGAGGTACAACACAATTATATGACATTTATGCTATGAGAAATGCTAATTTGTGATTTTATAATTCCCCTAACTAATTATATGATAACTAGATTCATTCTAAAGAGATTGCACAAGTCAGTAGGGGTAAGGTGCCTGAAATTAGAAATATTTCCACACAAAAAAAGAATGTTGCTAAGAAGACCGTGGCTAGTAAAAAAACTATTGCTCAGTTCAGGTCGTGCCTTCAGACATATTTAGGAATAACAGATATTCTGGATGGTGGTACCCGCCTTATACCTATGAGTGCAGACATCTTTGGTTTTGAATACCTGGAAGCAATTGGTAGAGAGGATATGGAGCAAGTTTTTAGACATTTGGAATTAGGTCTCGGTGTTATCGGTACATACATCAGGTATACTCCGGTTAACTTTGTTTAATTAGATGAACAATTTATTTCCTTATTTCAATGAATATAGTATAATGTTAATGATGTTTTAATTTAAGGTTTATGTATGACAACATTGTGCGCCCGCGTGGATTAGAAGCAAGATTTGGCTTCTTAGCTCCCAACATTGTCAATTTAGAGTTAATTGTAACAAGACCATATGATGTCATAGCATATGTACTAGGTTTATTCGTGGCCAGCAAAGATACTGAGAAGTTGTTCTTTTTGCCATATAATACTGGCAACGGGTTAGATTTTCATCCTAACTTGATCTATTATAATTTTCCGTTTTTGGCCATTGTTTAATCTTTGTTTAATCTTACAGTGGACACTGGTTATTAGTTGCGATTAATCCTATGAGAGAAACTGTGTATTATCTGGATTCGTTATACAATGATTGGTCAACATATCCAGATTTGAAGCCGATGATTGACACGTAAGTTTTTCGCTCCCAAAGAGATATTCAAGTTTATGTTTATGTTTATGGTCAACATATCTGGATTTGTGTTTATGTTTATGTTTCTATGTGAGATTGTTCTAAACAGTCGTTTATATTTTATTATAGCGTTCTACTAGCTTTTTACTCCCAAAGAGATATTCAAGTGCCAAAAAGTAGAGCCAACAACGTTACATGGATCATAGTGGAGGTATATTTTCACAAAGAGATATTCAGTTTTGATTACATTAGTGATGATACTTGATAAAACAATTTAAGGGGTATATCCTGATATATATTCGTATTTTCTTTCAATGTGTAGTGTCCTCGTCAGCGTAACAGTATAGATTGCAGCTATTTCATGTTGAGATTTATGAAAGAAACTATTCTTTTGGATCAATTAGAGATTCCATCCACGGTATGGATTTCTAACTTAGGAATTACATACTATTTTCATATTTTGTTTTTCTCATAAAATGACATATTGTTTTAACTAAATCACATACTATGTTATATTATTATATATATAGTACTTTGAGGAATTCAATTGTGCACATTACTCAAAAGATCAATTGGATGAACTCATGGAGGAATGGTGTTAATTCATTATCGGGTTGAGAATTTTATAAGCTAAGGTATATTGTCTTATTTCCTTTGATGAGGACTTTCGAGTTTTGAGTATAAATTAAATTCGAATAAAGTGCAACGTTAATATTATCATGTTATGAATTTCGATCATTTGATTTTTTTTTACAGGTTTATAGGTGCATATGTAGAAGATAGAGCTAAGATATTCATGTTGTTGTTGTTTCATGAGAATTCTCGAAGATAGTAAGATGTACAGATGTAACATCAATTTTGAATTTTAGGATTTTTAACTTGTAGAATTTTAACTTGTATCATAAATTTTGTAGTTGTTGTTGTATATATCATCAATTTATATATATGTGTGTAATTTTTATATATGCATATTTTATTGGAATGAAGCTACCAAATATGGTGCATAATATGGTGAAAACTTGATTCAAATATGGTTAAAATTCTGATTAAAATGCATTATATATATTGGACAACGCTTTTGTAAGTCAAAATAGATATTTTATTAAAAAAAATTGTGACCAATGGACAGCGCTTTAAGAGAAAAGCGCTGTAAAAACTCAAAAATAAGCGCTGCCTAAAGTGGGAAAGCGCTGTCTAAAGTGGGGGAATAGACAGCGCTTTGAAAGGAAAGAGTTGTCTAAAACCTAACTTAAAAAATAACAAAGTGCTGTCTAAAGCAAAAGTGCTGCTAAAGAGATATATAAAAAAGCGCTGTCTATTCTAAAAACGCTGTCTAAAGTGGGCATAAGAAAGCGCTTTTACATTGAAAAAAAGTGTTGTCTTTTCTTTTAACAGCACTGCTTTAAGCAGTGCTTTAAAGCGCTGTTAAAAGCTAAAAAAATGCTGTCTTTTTTCTTATTTATAGTAGTGGGGTGCGAGATTTCTATGTCTATTCAGTGCATGGAAACAAAAATATATATTCCATTTTTCATCTTAGCATCATTTTTCATTGGACATTCAGGAAGTATAGTGAAATGCAATTTTTTAGCATCCATGTACGTAGTGAAATGCTCCCATTTATGCTTTTATCGCCGGCCATGACCTTGGCACCATGCAAGTGAGCCATGCAATACAAAAATCCCAAGGATCATGCAATGGTAAATTTCTACATAATTAATTATACAACCAAGGATCATATCAATTAAGGTCTCCAGCATTCTGAACTAATTATCCTTAAAAGTGCAAAATGCCAACTGGCAGAGTCTGGTGATTATTATTATATTGTGCTTCTAGCCATCAACTAAAGGCTTAAAATTAAATTCAAATTCAAAATACTGAATCAGATACTAATGAGTTAATAATATTGAGAAATTAAACCTTTTACTATAGGAAGAACAACAATGAGACTGTCATTTCAACAAGCACTACCATGTTTGTACATTCGGATATATTCATTTTTATCTTAAATCATTCTATAAAGTTTGATTGTAATATAAAATTATTAATCGTAAATGTTTAAAAATAAATATGTACTATAACATCAAAATGATAAAATAGAGAGTATGTAATTTTATTTTCTTTTTTTATTGTACATTTTAAAATTTTTAATTTTTAATTTGCTTCTCAATTTAATTATTAATAATCAGGAAGCTAGCAGAACTTGAGTTTCACAGAAGTGCAAAAAAATGCAAAGAGAAATTTGAAAATATTTATAAGTACCACAAGAGAACTAAAGATGATAAAGGTGGAAAATCAAATTGTTAAAATTATAGATTTTTTTATCAATTAAAATTCGTTGATAATTTTCATAACCACCCTTTATCAATTTTGGGATGTGTGGGTCAGTTTTGGAATTGGATTTGTGAGGTTGAGAGAAAAGTGTGTCACGGTTGAGAAATGGAAGCACGGTTACAAAGAGTTTGAAGATGAGAGAGTTTGGAAGAGTGCTAAAAGTAAAACTAGAATCCTAACAAGACAAGAGAAAGCTAAGAAATAAAAGACAATAAAAGATAATTAAGAAAAATAAACTTTGTTTCATTTAATTGATACGCTAAAATGTGTCAAAGACGCTACATATATAATATACTAATGAGTCATTAACTAAAATGTTTAAATATAAATAAAGTCCAATAAACATACTAATAATATAAGTTCTATTATTACTCCTATTAATCCTGGATTTTCAAAGAATTATGAAGCAAAGAGAGAAAACTACCATAGTTCATGATTTATGGGAGGTGACTTTGGAGAATAAAAATTTCAAGACCTCTGATTTCTACAAAGAGCTCATTGATGATGGTAGTAGAGTTAATTGGAGAAAGCTTCTGAAACACAATCTGGCGAGACCTTACGCTTTACATTGCTTTTGGATGGCATGCCATAACAGTCTACCCACGAAGGAAAAATGAATGAGGTTTGGGATGATAAACAACAACACGTGCAGTCTTTGTAAAATGGATACAAAAAATCTTGATCATCTTCTCTTTACTTGCTATAGAATAAAAGATATATGAAGTTCTGTTTTAAACTGGATCAATGTGATTCATGTCTCAAAATAATGAAATGAAGAATTGCAATGGATTTGTGGAAAGGTGAAAGAAAAAGGTTGGAAAGTAGATCTCATGAAAATAGCTGCAGAGACAATTTACCACATATAGAAATATAGAAATGATATAGTCTTTAGAAATGTTGTTAATAGAGATAGAATTGTGAATAATATAGTGGACATTATAGTTTATAGAGGGTGGCTCAATAAAAAACTTAGAAGCCATCTCATAGAATTTATGATGTAATATAGTTTTATAGGTTTAGTTTGATCCCTCTCAGGATCACCTTATTTTGTAAATTTTTTTTGAATTAATATATATCTTCTTTAATTCAAAATAATAATAATAATAATAATAATAATAATAATAATAATAATATTAATAATATAAGTTTTATAATACCCTTTTATCATTGTCTTCGAACTCATTTGAATCTTATCTTTAAAATTCTAAAATAAAAAAATAATTTTTTATTAAAAAAAAGATTCATTGACTACATTTATTAAAGTCAAGCTGATAGAAATTGGAAATACTAGGCCCATTGAAATTAGAGAAGCGTGTAATATTGGTTGTCCACACACACCTCATGTAGCATTAAGCATATTCTTTTCATTATAATTTAAGGGGTTGTGTGTTGTCATTCAGTGGGGCACGTATCTCACTCTAATTGGCTAGAATAAAATTGAAAATGAGAGAGGTGGAGTAAAAGGTGGATGGATGGTAAAAGTTAAATAGGACACCTACGTGATTTTCTCTCTCTATCTCTTCGTTTCTCTCTCTCTCTTTTTCTTTCATTCTTATATTTCTCCCTTCCATTTTTATCAACTCTTCTTCTTTCTTGCGTCTTTCTGGTTTATTTTTCTTCAAAAGATACTTAAAAAATAAAATGGTGGAGATAACTGAAAATGGAGGTGGTTCAGATTGTGATTTTAGTGGAGGATCCAGCGGTTTTGGTGGTGGCACTGGCACCGGCACCGGAAGTTGAAATTTTTTCATTTTTTTTTATCAAACTGTGATTTCAAAAACAAAGCTCTCAACTTTATACCTGCAACAGTATATCTAAACATATTCAGTGGTTTTTCCTGTGACAATTCCAGATTTATTAATTTCTCTGGTAATAACTGTGGATCCGGTGGTTTTGCTGGAGGATATGATATCAGAGCCCGTACCGGAAATGATATCGGAGTATTCGTCGGATTTAACGTCAGATTTGTCTTCGGGAGAGTTGTCAGAAGTGACGCCAGAATCCTTGTCGGAAGTTATGCCGGAGTCATTGAAGAAGATGTCGCCGAAGATAACGTCGGATTTGTCATTGGAAGAGTCGCCGGATACCTTGCCAGAATTGATGATGTTGACGGAAGTGACGATGTTGCCGGAAATGTCACCGGAGATGTTGCCGGAAGTGACATCATGGCCGGAAATATCATCGGAGATGATTTTTGTAGATCATAAATTTTTTTGATATCGTCTTTTTGCTTTCAAATTTTCTGCATATCTCTTAAACACGTACTTTTCTTTGAGTTTTTCTTATGAATTTTTCATAGAAATAATAGAAGCTTGGTATTTCTCCTCAAGTGCTTTCTTTTGGATCTGATATTTTTCTTCTGCTAGATACAACTTTTAAAAAAGTTCTTGAAAATTATTTGGATAAATTTGTTCTTGGGTTAATGGTTGATGTTGTGTATATGGAGGAATATTATGGGTATGTGGAATATTTGGATTTGGGGTTGAAAATGGAGTGTTATTGATGTTGGAATAAAATGATGGAATGTACTAGGAATAAAATGGAGATGGAGTGGTAACATATAGATATATGGGGTAGTTGAAATCCATGGATGGTGACGAGAGTTCAAGGATGAAAGCACCAATTATTAGAGTGTTAAAACTAGAATCCTAACAAGACAAGAGAAAGCTAAGAAATAAAAGACAATAAAAGATAACTAAGAAACATAAACTTCATTTTGATTTATACCCTAAAATGTATCAAAAATATTACATATATAATGATACTAATGAGTCATTAACTAAAATGCCAAAATATGAATAAAGCCCAATAACTATACTAATAATATAAGTTCTAATATTATCCCCTATCAATAACAATACTAATAATATAAATTCTATAAAATCCTTATATCATATGTGTGGATCAATTTTGGAATTGGATTTGTGAGGTTGAGATAAGAGTGTGTCATAGTTGATAAATAGAAGCGTGGTTACATAGAGTTTGGAGATGAGAGAGCTTGTATGAGAAGGTAGTCGTTAATGTTTGAGGGGGTGAAAACGAAATGAGGTTATGGTGGTTGATGGTGGTGCATCAGGCGAGGTAAGGGTGAACAGAGGGGGAATGAGGGTGGACGGGTCTGTTATGAGAGGGGCGGAAGAAGGCTAGTGTATGGAGGTGAGGGATGGAGCAGTGATTGTGTAGGTTTTGAAGGCTTGTTCATGATGAATAATAAGAATATATATATCTTCTTTTGCCTCTACGTACTTTCTGCTTTTCATTTCGAAGAAGAAAAAATATATCTCACTTTCTCCTTTTCAATTTTTCTTGGCTTTTGATTGGTCATGGGTGAGAGGAGTGGCTCATTTTAATTGGTGAAGCAAATAAAGAGAGAGGATATGCATAATTAAGGGTGGCGGCTGATTGGCTTTCGTTTCCTCCAAGTTCTCACTCTCTTAAATACTATATATGCTAGGGTTTTAATTGATGACAAAATTTCTAAGTTACCCTTGCTTTATTTATTTATTTCATCAATTTAAATCAACAATTAAAAAAAATTAAATAACTAAATAAATAAAAATCTTTTTGTTTTAAATTTTCAAAAAAAAAAAAAAAAGAATCGAAATGAACTGAAACGGATAAACAAACGGGCGCGTGCATGATCAAAAAAATAAAATGAATGTATCAACGCGACCTACACACAATGAAGTTCAGATAAAATGTTCAGTAATGTTTAAAATTACAATTAAAAAATGGATAAAAATGCTATGATTGATCAAAATGTGATCGCAAATAGATGCGAAAAAAGAAACGAGCACACAAAAATGATCTACACAAAGAATAGTTTCGTAAAACAGTCCGATAAACATCAAAAGTTGAAAGATTTCACCCTCTAATTTGACTCGTAATGGAAAATCGATTTTACCGATCAACTTGTAAAACTGGAATGCATGGAATGCATTTATATCATTTTTTGGATTTTAAATAAAGAGAAAATTTACGTAATGTCGACTTTTAACCAACCTAATGCATGAATGACTGACCAATTATGAAAATGCGATGAATGAATGACCTTAGAGCAAAATTAGGATATGACACACTGCCAATCATGTGTCTCAACCTATTAGCAAGAACCTTAGATAAAATTTTATACACATCATTAACCAAATAAATAGGTCAAAATATGTCAAACGCTGAGGGCTCTCAACTTTAGAAATCAAAGCAAATAAATGTTTTATTTATGCCTTTGGTTAACTTGCCATTTCTGAAATCTTTCTTTTGTTGATATTTCATTCTCTTTCTATCGATCTCCTGATCGCTTTCGTCAACTGGATGAACGTAGCCATCATTTACCATATCCCAGAGATCAGCGTCATAAGCTAGAAAGAAACTGTCGATTCTGTCTTTCCAGTAATCGAAGTTCTCACCATAAAATATTGGAGGTTCGCCGTTGATTCTGTCTTTCTCATCATAGTTATCATTGTTGATGATCTGACTTGGTCCCACCCTAATATTTTTCTTGCTAGGATCTTTTTCTGACACAGTTAAGTATTTGCACCCAAAACCAGGCGCTCTGATGTCAATTGAAGGATAGAAAAACATAAGAAAAGCGGGGGTTTAAATTAGGGTTTTCAAAAATAAAATAGTATGACACGTTTGGTTATCCTGGTTCATTTGAAATCAAACTACTCCATTACACCCACCAAGGTGATTCCGCCTCTCTCAAACGAGTACTTAATCCATTAATCAAAACTTTTATTACACAAACATAATGACTACCGTTAATGTCTTCTTGAGTCTAAACCACAACTTGGTTTATCAAGGTATTACAAAATATAAATCAATAAAGATGTGTACAAATGGTGTTTCTATAAAACTATATCACAACAATGATGTATATTGTTGTACCCCAAAATTTTCCCTCCCCTTTTATCAACATTTCTCATCACAAGGCTCTTGGAACTCAAGATCAAGCTAAGGTTTGCTCTGCTCAAGACATCTCCTAACACTGATGACCTAAATTAGGGTTTGAGTTTGCACAGGGATTTTTGGACCTTCAATGCTCAAATTGACTTTCATACTTCATATTGTACTCATAAGTTTGTCCATACCAAGTTTCAAGCCTTGAATCAAATTTTAGCCCAGTCAATTGGACAGTTGACCTAGAAATCAGCTGTATTGGGGAAAAAGTCATCTGTGGCCAATTTACAGTCAAACCTCATGGATTTTGACCCACATCAACATTATGAACTCATATGAACCATTTTATCAAGTTTGGACCACAACTCCACAAGAAATTTGATCAGATCACCAAAAGGGCAAAATGGTCATTTTTAGGGTTTTGATTGCACAAAGGCAATTTCTGACTTTTTGACCTAGCCAATGGCAATTTAAGCTCAACCAAGGACTCAAGGACCCAATGGCATCATCTTGACCTATTCAACAAGTTCAAAAGACCTCAATTACATTAGATTGACAAATGAATTTTCCAGTCAACTGATCAAAATTTGACTGTACACTGAAAAGTCAAACTTTTACTTTTTGGTCAAAATCAAGTGCCAAGGGTCATTTTTCATCAAGATGTGTCAAATTATGAAACTTGTTCATCAAGAAACCCAAAATTGCAAATTAGGGTTTAAAGTTGAAAAAATTTCATAACTTAGAAATTTTCTAAGTTATGAAATTTTCTTAATTTTTCCTAACTTTATCCCACATTTTCACCGTGATGCAAATAGATCCAAACAAAACTTGCAACATCAAAGTTGTATTCCTCCACAAAGTCTACAACTTTGATTCACAAAGTTTTCTCAAAAGAAGCTTGGATCTCAAGTTATGATTTTTGGAACAAGGGTCCCTAAAACTTTTAACTTAGTGAAATTTTGCCTTAGTTTAGGCAGGATTTTGACCTATCTTCTTGGCCATTTTTCACATAGTTCCACTTAGATTCTCAAGTTTCATTTTAAAGATGGATTATAGATAATTTTGCAAGATTTCCAAATTATCCAAGAAATCCTCAAACACATTTGTGGTTAGGGAGAATCGAAGGCTTGAAGTTGGCAAAAACTCACTTTTCATCCATGGCAAACTCATGTTCATACAAGTTGCATTTTCAAATCAGCATGCCTTACACTAGTTTGCAGGCCTCTAAACCACTTAACACTCCATAATTTAATGCAAATACATTGGGCTAATATATTTTTTTGGTCATTAAGGCATTGTACACAAGTTTAATCCCTAAATGGTAAAAGGCACATTTCCATTTTTGCAAAAGTTTGCTTTATGTCAAAACCATAATCGTTGAGCATAGAGCCAAATATCTTGCAGCTAAACAAATACACTGATTAGGGGTGTCAAGAGCAGAGGTTAGAGGATGTTGTATAGCCTTCATAAGCCTGTTACGTATCACTTCCACTTTCTTACTTCAAAAATATGAAACTTGTCAAAAACTTTACAACTGAAAAACCAGCAAAGATCAACTTGTGCAAACCTTCAAAACATCTTCCTCACACCCCTTTGAGTTAGAAACACGATTGTTCAAGCCTCAAAACACCCCATATCCAGAAATCACATTCCTTTGGCAAAACAAGGCAGGTGCTGCAACTTGAGTTCCATAGCTCATTTGGCTCGTGCGTTTTGCCCCAAGTTGCTTCAAACATATTCCATTCAACTCACTCAAGCTATCCCAAACCTTAAATACCAATTGTAACTCCATTTACAGTGTTCACCATTTTCATTTTGAGCTTGTGAAGGTTGAGTTCTATAGGCTGATTCAAGGACATTTAAGGCAAGCTAGTTATTGGAAAAGGTCAAGTGAAGTTCAAGCAAGCTACCAGACATCTCAAACCTTGTTGAGAAGCACTGCATTTCCCTACACAAATCCAACTGAAACAGGTTTTTCTTCACTTTCTATCTCTCTATTTAGGAACATTTAGCCTTAGGTTTGTGAATAAAAAATGTAGCGTTCAATGCCATGAAGCTGTACATATGCTCAGTTTTCATTTATATTAAGTGTGCTAGGAGAATTTCATCCATGAACATGCTGAAAAAACTAGGTCAGATTTTGGGGCCAGAGAAATTCTCTCTGGTCTTTGAGAGTTAGGATTAGTTTTTTATATGGTTAGAATCGTCTTGAGATTCTCTACAAGTTTGGTGTTGTGTGTTTTTGCAAAAGATCACGTATACAGGATGTGCCAAGTTTGTACAGGCGCGCACGTTTTTTCAAGATGCTGGAGGTTAAA